TTTTTTTGTAAAGCATTTGATTTCACATAAGAATATGTATCGGTTTTTTATGGGTACTGATTTTTACATGAATTTTAAAATTCCAAAGTTAAAAGATCAAAATGTAAAACTATATCAATGTTTAGGGCATGATTTTAAGGAAACGGTTCATCTGACGAAAAATTTCATTTAACCTTTTTTGTAGAGCATTTAATTTTCTTAAAAAAATATTTTTAAGTAAATTTTGTTAAACTCAATGGTTTGGGAGTTCTGAGAAAAAAACTTGATGAGGGGAAAAAAATTAAAATTGCGATGATAAACCTCTTAAAAAAGTTTTGAAATACTGAAAATAATTTTAAACCTTAAAGTTAATTTTAGCTTAAATTCAGCGATTAATTGATTGTGTTGAAGAATCTTGGTACATTATTTATAAAACTTCCTGCAAAATTGTCCCTAAATTTTGTTTTCCTGCAGTGAATTTTATAATACTATATTATGCATAATAATGAAAATAGGATTTTAGACACTTATAACTTTTGAAATGTAGGTGATAAAAAAATTGTTTTCAACAAATTTGTAGAGCATTAAAAGATCTTCAAAATTGCTAATTAACTTTTTCTTCTATTATTACTTTAGCCGCTAAATGTAAAAATATCAATTTTTTTTAGAATTTTATAAATAAGAGTTGAATCTTGAAACTAGACTCTGAAAGATTTTTTGTAGATAATTTAATGCTAAAAAAGGACCAGTGATTGTTTATCAAAAAAAAAAGTTCTGCATGGTATGCAGGCGAAATAAATCTTAAAATAGTATATTCTGTAACAAGTTTGGAATACAGCATATTCCGCTCGAGTGAAGAGTTTCTCACTCGAGCCGAAGGCAAGTTTGACGGTTTTACGAGAGCGGAATATGCAATTCCAAACGTGTTTCAGACTATACTTTTTCTAGGTTTCCAAAAAATACCATAGAAAAATAATTTAATTGGAAGAAAGTGAGGTTGGATCGGTCTAAAATTTGTTAGATATTAAAAACAGAGATGTCATCCGATGATAGAATATTTCATTCTGTAACACTTTACGGAATATATGTCATTTCATAGATAAAAGTGGTATTAGAACGGTCAAATTCCGTAATAGGAGTAGAAAAAACTATTTTTTGTGACAACCTTTTCACTCTAGCGGAATATGCCGTATTCCAAACTTGTTACAGAATATACTATTCCATGTTACATCAATGGGAAAACTTTAAATTCGATGATAGACCTTTTAAAATTAATATTAAGAGCTCAAATTTTGACAGAATTTTTTTTTAGCATAAGTGACGAGAAATTTACATAAATTTGAAAAATACAAAATATTGCCTTATTTTGAAACACCCTAATATATATTATTTATATATATATTATGTTATATTTCGCCGACGCGTCGCGACGGTGGACTAGTGGTTAGTGCTGCTGACTACAAGCCGGAGGTCGTGGGTTCGAATCCCACCAGGGGTATGGCTGTTTATTTGTGTTTGTCCTATTGTGTAATAGTCCTTCGGAGGGGACTTTAAGCCCGCGGTCCGTTCCTACCCCTAACCCGCACAAGCCATTCAGTTGGCTTCTGGGACTTCTTAGGAAGTAAGGGTGGAACTAAAAGAGCACTTTTGTATATAAACTTTTTTTGTATTTATATTTAAATTATTTATTTACATTTGTAAGGGCAGTTTTTAATTATTCAGTTTGGCTTTGGGGTACGGATATGTACAGATAAAAGAAGCTGCCATGAACAATCTTTTTTTTAAACCAAATCCAGATGAAGCAAAGAGTCAAGATTTTGAGTTCACAAAATGTTACTAATATTAAAGTTGATAAAGATAATGAAGCTTCTTCTCAATTTAATTTAAGAAAATTAATAAAATCAGTGAAATTGAGTACTGTTACAGTTCAAGTTAATATTTTACCACTGTTTTTATATTTTTTACGACGTTAAAAATTTTACTTCTCCCATTATTTTTTCCTGCAAAATACATACAATATGAAATACTGTTTCTTTTCGGCCTACCTGAAGACTAAATAGAAAATCTTTATTTTTTTAAGAAAAAATGTTAACTTGTACAATTGAATTAACAAATGTCTTTTTTTATCTTAATTAAGTAAATAAATAAATATTTTTACAGAGAATTTATATTGTTTTTCTGAATGCCTTATTTTAAGAAACTTTTTCATCAAAGAAACCTTTTTAATTAAAAACAATGTTTTAAAACAAAGTTTTGTTTGATTAAAAATATATTTAATTAATATTTAATCCTCCTAAACTTTATTCAAAAAATCTGTGTTATGTTGGCAAATATTTTCATTCGTTATTTGTTCATTTAGATTCCAATGCGATTAGAATGTAGATGCCAAAAGGACTTAGTCAGAACCGATTTGGGGTTTCTTAACCCTTCGTTAATATTAATTGGCTAATATTAACTTATTTGCTATTCATTTCATTGCTTGAATATTACGCAATGGGTTAAGTCGTTAATATAAATTGAGTACAATGAGGAGAAACTTGATTTTGCAATAAATAAGTAATTGAATTATAATTGAATACATTAAATGGTTTTGTACAAAAAATATATTTTATAATAGTTGGAGTCAACAAAATTTGTTGAAAAGTAAAGTTTAAATTCTACATAAACCTTCAATTTGCATAAAAAGGGTATAAAAAATTCAGTATATTCCAAAACATTGTTAATATGAGGGGTGTAGATTATTATAAATGGTTTAATTTAAATTTTACATTTTTTGACATATTTATTGGTTTCTGGTTAATTTACAAAATTTATCAAAAACCATGGAAAAAGTTTATTTATAATCAAGCCTTATTATTGTCAACGCTCACTACCAAAATGTTAGATTATCTCCTAGGCTGTAAAAATAATATAAACCAATCAGGTGAAGTTTTTTACATCCTAGTCTGTAAAAAAAACCGTTAGGACAAATAAACAATTCGGTATCTGCCGACATTTATGCAGTTATCTAACCTCACTTTATACTTTTAATAATTGTTATTATAAGTGTACGTTTTATGTATGTATCGCTTAACAAATAAAACTGTGCCTTGAAGCTTGGCTCAATTGCAGACCTCTGATAACGCGTCGGACTTCAAAATTGAGCTCAGTACAAAAAGACTCACTTTTTAGCCTTATGACATAAATAACTATTTTTAACAGTTATCTTGTTTTTTTAAGCGTATAGCAAAAAGAAAAAATTCAAAAGTCAAATTATTTTACACCTCCGTACAATAATGAAAATACATTGAAATACCATAGTAAGAGTGGTTCCATCTATCGTATTTAACTCAAAATCAGTGTAGGTAACTGTAATTACAGGTCACTGTAAAATAGATGCATTCACATAACCTATAATGTTAAACGTCATCATCATGATAGCAAAATAAGTCTGAATTTTTACCTACTATATTAAGGTATTTTCTTGAAAAAAGAGACATACAGAAATATGGTGAATAATATAGGGTTTGGAATTGCATCTTCACGAAAATGTTTATAATAAAAAATATTGGAGTTTGATGTAATTGATATTAGACCACTGATTTGTCGGAGTAAAAAACGATTTAAAGCAAGGGTAGTACTTTTGATGGCATAACGAGTTTTGTGAAAAATAGTATATTCCTTAACGCGTGCAGAAGTAGCTTTTTGAACAATATAAAGACGAGCCGAAGGCGAGTTTTGCAGTGACGCATAAAGACTTTTAGCTTTAACACTATTTTTTCCACATCAAAAATCAGTGCTTAGGGGACATCCATTAATTACGTGAGGCATTTTTCTGATAATTTGAATACCTCCCTCTTCCTTGGTGAGATTTGAATACCTCCCTCACGTGAGATTCTAGCCATTAAACTTTTTTTGCGGACAACATGATAAACCCAAAAAATAAGAATTAATTACTTTTTTTTGACAAATTTGAATTATACTACATATTCTTTAAACACAAAAGTTGACGTGATATTTTTAATGACCCCCCTCCCTTAACATGAGATTTGGTGAGATTTTGCTAGACCCCTCCCCCCCTATTTTTATCTCACGTAATTAACGGATGTCTTCTTAATGAAGACACAATATTCACTTTTTTCTGGTTAAAAAAATAGTTTAACTTCCTTACACGCCAATAAATTGTTTACTAAATGATGAGTCTAGAAATTAATGGTACCTCAAATATGGAGATTTTTTTATTTAGACCCCATCTAGTTGTCAAGCCATGGACTTTATGAATAAACTATTACACTTTTCCTTAAATAATTATAGAAAATTTATAATTTTTCTTCAGAGTAAGAATACTTGATGATCTTTTAGCTATTTAATAAGAATGGTAAAAATGATACTTTTTTTAATAATTTTTTAAAAAAGCGCAATAGTGATTAGGAATTGTTGAGCAACATGCCAGTTCGTTCAGTGAGTACGTGTTGTCCTGATGTTCGCTCCTAAAGCGGTACTTCAAAGGGTATGTTTCAGTTCCTCAATTTTTGTCCAACTATTGTTCAAGGGTTGGTCAAAAATGTTTGATTAGTCTGGTCCCACCTTTAGAAGCACGATAGTGGTTTTCTTACATTCTAAAAGTGTTTTTGAAATTACAAAGTATGCTTTGCTCTTATTTAAGGATGTTTAGAAGGTTCGCTATGTGAAAATGTTGAAAAAATTCTAGGTTGTAGTAGAGTCTACTTAAAAGACATTTACAAAGTTTTAGAAAGATTGACCGTCTGGTTAATTTGACCAAGTCAACTATGGGAAATATTCTTTCGACTTTTTGCTTGATTTTTGACTTAAAATCTAGTAGGAAAATGATTATTTTTTACCAGCTTTACAAAAACAAAGTTGTCCAAAAGTTTTTTTGATTTTATATAGAAGATTTCTTTAAAAATGGACCTTTTTCAGTATTATTTTATATTTAAGAATGTTTTTCTAAAAAAAATTAAAAATCCTAATTCAGAAAACATCATTATCATACAATTTTCATTTGTCACACTGTCTCTCACCTGTTGGTGAAGATGATCCAAGCCGCATATAACTTCTGCGGCGTAAAACCTGGCCCTCGCGATGTCCAGGCCGGGCTCGCCGCCCATGTTGTAGATATGAAACTTGAGATCGCCACCGTTCATTATCGTCAGCACTAAGCACAAAGCGTCTTTAGTCTCGTACGCGTACGCCAAATTCACCACGAAACGCGAGTTGATCTTCTGCAGTATCTGCTTCTCGATCAGCACCATCGCCTCGCCTTTTCGCTTCTTGATGCGCTTCTTCTCCAGCTTTTTGCATGCGTACATCTTGCCGGTCGCCCTAACCTGAAACAAGATTAATACATACCATTTTATAAATAAATACTGCATCGAGTAAGGTAGTAAGCAAGTTTCCTTTTGAAGAGCATTTTTGATATAAAAGATATAGTCTTAAGATAAGATAAAGGATAATCTAAATATCTCCAGAACTGGGATTTATATTTCCTTAGGTGGGTGATTCTCCAGAACGGAGCAAATATGCTGAAACTCTTTAATATAATATACTAATGAAATTAGTTAGCATTTAAATAACACTACAATAGACAGTTTATGTCTAGCAGTAGAACGTACTTAACCAAAAAAATAAAACATTATTTATTTTATTAATTTGAATTTGCTTAAACGCTTTAAAGTCAACTCCATGGACTGTCACCACCTAGCGTAGGGAGAACAAATCATCCATATACTATTAGACTAGATGCAATTGTGAAATGATTCTTTCATATTGCATTTCCTCTAACTTGGAATGTATAAAAAAACACAACCAAAAGCAAACTTATTGATATTTTAACCCAAAATGTCGAATGCAGTCTTTTAATATATGATAAATCCCCTGTATAAAACCTATTTTAGTAATGTTTGAAGACTTCGTCGTTTGAGTGATTTAGTGTTGATTTGTGTAAGCAAGGCAAAGGGGTGTAATATTTAATAAAAATTTATAAAGAACAATTATTTGCGAAAAAACGGGTAAGTATTTTTATTAAAGATCAACTCCATGTCATTAATAACAAAGGGATTTAAATACAATTGAAATTTAAACTTTCTCCAGGTGAAATAACCAAATATGCTTTCCTTAAATTACAGTTAACTAAAGATACATTGTGTACCATTTTCTAAATTTTGTGACTTTAACTATAAAAACATCAACTCCATGGACATAAACTCCATGGAGTTAAAAGGTATGTCCATGGAGTTGTTTACTTTCTTATTATTGCCCTAAACTCTTAGATTATATAAGTTAAGGCATTATTAACGATAATTAATAATATATAGTTAAATTATAATACATTTAATTTAATTTTTCTTAAAAAAAATGCTCTAATAGTATTATTATTATAACTATATGAAATTACTTTATGTTATTAAGAAATACACATTGAGGTATTATTTTGCTAGTGTTTTATTAATCTTTGCTTTTTATTTTTTTACCACCCCAATTTATCCCCGTTTTGGATATTCACCCAGGTGTCCCAAAATACGATTTCCGAAGTTTTTAAAATAGGCAATACGCTAAAGAAGTATCGGGTTTTCGCAACGCGCGCGCCATCTGGTGGACTTAACAAATACATTTAAAGCACCGATTATACATCATTTTTAAATAAATAGGTAGTTTTTTTACAAAAGAGAGGAAGGCAGAAAGAAGTCTTACTCGACAAATTTTGTTCAATTGCACAGCTAAATCGTTGCAACGAAAAAATTAAAAAACTTTTTTAGTACTCGATTTCGATTGATTATTCCTTATATCATTGATTAAGAAACTCAACGCTTAAATGCTTATATAGTTACGTTAGTGTGGGTATTTTATCAAAGGGATCATGGTGAATTATTGTGTTTTTAATTGTAAATAAAATTCAAGAACTAAATCGTTGCATTTTCATGTTTAGCCAAAGGATCCAATTCGGTAAGTACATTTGTTGGTGCAGAATTAACTAATGATAACTTTACCTAATATAATTTATATTTAAGTTTGGAAATTTTTAAGAAATTACTAAAAAATAATTTTTGCACAAACATAACCTCAAAATCAATCATTTTTATATTTGAGTTTTCTAAAAAACGCCGACAACTGCATTTTAAACAACAGAATATACCTACGAATTCATGGCAACATACTATTATATATAGTACATAATATAATGGTATTTTACCGTTGAGTGGGGACTTTAAAGAATTCTTAATCAACGCTTTTAATAATGCTAAATGCTGTTTAAATTTAGACGACTTATTTATTTGACGATTGACTGAATTGAAATATTTACACTTTTCAAGTTAATCACTACTAAAAAGTGTATTTATTGTATGTAATAGGTACAATTTATATTTACAGAGACTGTATGCAATTTATTTCTTCATTCGGATTAACACTGTTTATTGGAAAACCGGTAAAAACTCAACCCAGGATTTCCTCTCGAAATATACCCAACAACACAACAAATCGATCCACGTTTTTTTTTCGATATTTTTTAACATTTTCCGGCTTTATTCTCACTAACACTCGTTTTTAATCTAAGCGTTTGACAGCTGATTATTAAAAGTTCTACTTTTGTTACGATAATAACAGCCGAGAGGTGGCGCTACTAGCGATACTTCTTTAGCGTATAGTTTAATAATTGAACTTAATACATATTATATTAGTATTTTATGTATCAAATTTTATAAACACCATTTTAGTTTTATTAGACACGACGTTTATAAAACGAGTTGCATACTATACTTTATGTACGACGAACACAAAGAAGGATTTAAAGCCAACTTCATTTGTTACACATTTGATATCTGTCAACTATAAAGGGATTCAACCTCCCTTTTCCCTAATTTATAATTATCTTCAGCTTTTTCCCGTGACTAAAACGCTATAAAGTCACAGCTCGTCAATGTAGGAGTAGATAATAGTATATTATGTATCAAGTTTGATAAAAGCCATTTGAGTTTAAACTAGGCACGAGCGAGCTTGCGAGGGAGTGTTTAAATAAATGAGTGTCTAGAAAAGTTTATAAACGAGTTGCATACTATACTTTTTAAAATATTAAAATAACTTCAAAATATGATTATGTTAAGAACTTATGTTATCTTACTATAATTGCAAAAGTATTAAAAATTCTTACAGGGAAAATGTTAAAGGGGCAAAACGTAACAGCTGGAATTCCCGTTAGAATTAATAACTTGGGAATCTACTGTTGTTAAAATCTCAAATTTTTCTGTGTAAATCAAAATTTATCCCTTGAAAATAGACTAACAATCGATATAGGAGCAGTTTGTCACAGTAAAAGAGAAGAGAATATTTTATGGGCACTGTACGCAAAATTTTTAACGCCTTATCGGTTAAATCTAGTTCTGCACTACCAAGGCGAAATCAAAAGGTCAGTTCAATAATTCATATAACCGGCGTAAACAAACTATTTAATACTTTTGTATTGAGATAATAAAATAATTTTTACATTTAGTAATATTTTACAAGAAATGCACTTTATTTTAACAATTGTATGACATTTGACAACTGTCAAATAACTTAAAGCTAACTTTCACCCGTGACTAAAAACCTGTTGCTAACTTCAGCCCATGACTAAAGCGCCAGAAAGCCACAACTTGTCAATGTCAATTTAAAAGGTCACTTAGTGTCAGGGAAACATGTAAGACAATGTGCGTTTTAAAGGTGGGAGTAGGAAAAATATATTATGAACCCTGTTTTTTCTTAGAACAAACTAATAATAATATTATCATAATAATAATAATATTGTCATATTATGACATTATAAAATTCCATAGATCTTTTATAAGATTGGTTAAAATAATTTCTTTAACAGAAAAAATGTCAAAACTGATTATTTTTGTTTTACCTATAAGGGCTACATTTTCTTTGTTGATTTTATTAGTATACGAGGTGTGTTCAGAAAATAAGGGGAATTGTTAAATTTCGCGGGTTCAGAGGGTCCGGTTGTCATAAAATTTTCTTTATTATGTTGGTATACATGCCCCCGAAGTAGCTGTTTTCATTAATGAAAACAAATTGTTTACTTTGTCTGTGGCAGCCGCTAAGGTTAGACGTGTTTTTATGAGCTCGGCGATTTTCGTTCGTTAAAAGAAATGGATCAAAGAATTTGTACCCAATTTTGCTTAAAAAATGAAATAAATTCTGTGAAATGTTAACAAAGGCCTATAGTGAGTCTACTATAAGTAAAACAAGAGTTTACATGTGGTATAAGAGTTTCCAAGATGGCCGTGAAGACGTTGAAGATGACGAACGCCCCGAACGCCCAAGCACATTAACAACCGATAAAAACATGGAAATAGTGGAATAAATGGTTATAAACCATCAGAGAAGTCGCTGATGATGTTGGTATATCGATTGGCTCATCGCATGAAATTTTTTCGAATGTTTTGGGTATGAAACGCGTGGCAGTAAAATTTGTTCCAAAATTGTTCAATTTTGAACAACATTTTTGGCCAAAAACAATACTGTAATGATGCCCCAGCGTCCATATTCGCCAGACATGCCTCTGTCTGACATTTTCCTATTCCCAAAAATAAAGAGAACCTTAAAGGGCCGTCGTTTTGCAAGCATAGATGACATTAAAAGCGCATCGCTGAAAGAACTAAAGGCTATCCCAAAGATCGAGTTTTAGAAGTGTTTCGAGTATTGGAAGAAGAGCTGGCACATGTGCATAATATCCAATGGGGACTATTTTGAAGGCGACAACATACATGTAGACGAATAAATAAAAAAAAAATTTCAAAAAACGAAAATTCCCGATATTTTCTGAACACACCTCGTATTACGAATTAAGTTTTATAAACGCCATTATAGTTGCGAGTTATAATGGCCACGAGCGAAGCTTGCGGGCGAGATAAAAAAAAAGTTAAAATTAAATTTAATTATGTAATCAAATACCAATATTATTACCAACATGTTTCTTTAAATTATATTTTAATAATATAGCTTGTTATAAATTTGTAAGCTATTTTTATCTCTCAAAAGCTTATTTTGCTTGTTGTTTAAAAATGTACTTCAGTAGGCAATTAGTGTAGTTTGGTCGGTAGGAGTTGTTTGAAATCAAAGTTCGTCCATAAATAACGAAGCGCTTTGTTTTAAACGGTCAACTGTTTTGTATTACAATACGACTTGATTATGACTTCAACAAAGTAATTTATTTTGTTTGCCCCCGCGGTGTTTTACATTACGTACGCAATTTGTTAATTAATCGTTTCACACTAATTACACTATAATTAATTTTTACGATTTTTCTGCTTTGTTTTTTGCTTAAAGTTTTTTTAGAATGCAAATTTAA